CCCCCCCCACCAACTTTTAAAACTAGAATGTTCATCATTTTGGGTTCATCTAATAATTTGTCTCATAATGAGACACGTTATATATTCTCAGCAGAACTACTAAAAAGAGTGATCCTGTGTCCTTTTCAGGATATCATATCTGGAGGCCTGGGACGCTCATCTGCCCCACGTAGATCACCTGGTCAAGGTGCTATCCAATTTCTCTACTGTGTAATTAGTATTTTTCCTTCTTATCACTAGTGAGGAATATATGGGAGGGTACTTGAAGACCATCCAAATATCCATATCTTGCTCTTTGTTTCTCTGTTGAAATTTAGCATTTATTGATAATGCTTGCTTGATTCTATCTTAACTGTCACAGTTGCAAAACGATTTTTCCAGCTCTCATGCTGTCTTCCCATTTACCAGTTGGCATTCAAGATTCTGCTGTAAACATGAGTCCTTCCTTCTCCCTCATTTATTTATCACTGGTATAAACTCATGAATTCTGCCCCCTGCCATGCTTCAAACTCATTACTATCCTTAATTCATTACTGTCCTTAATTGTTTTGATAATCAAATTGTCTTAGATTTGGCTATTGAGAGCCTCTTTAAGCTGGCTCCTTTGTCTTTATGACATGTTTACATCATTTTTTTCATTTCATTTATTTATTTAGTTTTTACTATTTCCTTACTTTCTGGCATAACAAGATGCTGCAGGCTTAACTTCTATCTTCCTTGCCCCTTCCCTGCAAATTCCTGGGTTTTACTCCCTACTTTGATTTTGATTTACCATTTAGTCTTAAAATTATAGAAAACCTCATCTCCCCTATTTATTTACTTACTGGCCCTCTGTCTTAGCTACTCATGCCATAAATATTTGTTCCTTCTTTTCCACATGCGTGACACTGGCCTAAATGCTGTTGGTGATGATAAAGAACTTACAGGCTAGTTTCAGAAAAGGCCTTCTTCTCAAATCAGGTTTTAAAGTAGAGAATAGGTGGGGAGTGGTGGCTCATGCCTGTAATCCCAGCACTTTGGGAGGCCAAGGTGGGCAGCTCACCTGAGGTCAGGAGTTCGAGACCAGCCTGGTGAAACCCTATCTTTACAAAAAAATACAAAAATTAGCCAAGTGTGGTGGTGCATGCCTGTTATCCCAGCTAGTCGGGAGGCTGAGGCAGAAGAATCTCTTGAATCCAGGAGGTGGAGGTTGCAGTGAGCCAAGATCATGCCACTGTACTCCAGGCTGGGCCACAGAGTGAGACTCCACCAAAAAAAGAAAAGAAAGGAAAAGAAAAGAAAAGAAAAGAAAGAACTAGAGAACAAAGTTTTAAATAAAACAAAGAAAATATAACAATCAGGCTAGCCATGGTGGCTCAGACCTGTAATCCCAACACTTTGGGAGGCTAGGCAGGAGGATCGCTTGAGCCCAGGGGTTCGAAACTAGCCTGGGTGACATAGCAAGACCCTGTCTCAAAAAAAAAAAAAAAGAGGAAGAAAGAAAGAGAGAAAGAGAGAGAGGGAAGGGAAGGGGGAAAGGAAGAGAAGGAAAAAAAGAGAAGGGAAGGAAGGAAAGAAAAAGAAAGGAAAGGAAGGAAAGAAGGAAGGGAAAAGAAAGGAAGGGAAGGAAGGAAGGAAGGAAGGAAGGAAGGAAGGAAGGAAGGAAGGAAGGAAAGAAGGAAGTATCTTGGGCACTATGTGCCAGGCAGGTGCTACAGTCTGGAAAGGGTAAACCACAGACTGTCCCTGAGTTTGTGGAACTCAGGGTTCAGGGTTTAGCAGCAACAAAGGAAGAGGAGTTTCCTGATGACTGTGTAGATTCCTGGATCCCATCCAAGAGATCTTGATTCTGCAGATTTGCAGTTTGGTCCAGGAGCCAGCATCTTCATAGTTTCTCCTATTAATTAGAAGATTTCTAGTACTGAAGTTTGAGAATGATTGGATGAGTAGCTGTAAATTGGAGATTGAGGGGGCTACCTGGAAGAGGAGGGGCTTGAGCTGAGGGTCCAAGGTCAAGTCACAGGTCAGCAATGTCCACAGGGCCCAGATCTTGTAGAAACTGGAAATTAAGGGCACCCCACTAGAAAGTGACAGCATCAAAATTTAAGCCCTTCACCGGCTGGCCTCCAGCCAACGCCTGTACACAAACTGGGCTCACTGAAATACTCATGCCGCAAGTCAAGGTCCCCAAGTCTTTGCTCTTCCAAGTCCAAGGCCATTTCAAAAGTCACTTCCTCTTTACTACAGACAGGCACGCTTGGGCCAATTTAATTGTTCCCTTATCTGCGTTTCCAGAGCACTTTTTACATTGCTTTATTGTGGTGCTAATCCTGTATCGTTGTGCTTTGTTTACATTTCTGCCTAGACTAAACTCAAATATCCCCAAATAATCTGGGATGGAAGGTGTTCATTCTCCCTCTTTTGCAGATGGGAAACCTGCTGTTCAGTGAGGTGAGACTTCGAGAGAGCAGCAGTGCGCAGGGTGAAGCGCCTTGGTTAAAGCGACTTCTGTCACTTCTCAGCCGCAGGACCTTAGGAAGTTTCTTAACCATCTGTGCTTCATTTTCCTTGGCAGCACAATGCAGGTGATAAGCAGTAGAAACTGCCACAGAGGCAGGTTATGTGGCCTCAAGGAGTTAATATATGTAAAACTAGAAGAGGGCCTGGCAAATGGTAAGTGCTGTGTAAATGGTTATTAAGCAATTAAAGTCATGTCACTGGAATTCAAATCCAAGTCTTCAGATGATAAAGCTCCTAGATGCTTGTTCTATTTTAACTTTGTAGGACTCCAAGTTTTTCCGAAAAGTAGTAGTTGTCTTAGAAGCAGCAATAAAAGGAAGCTGGTTTGCAGTAAAAGACATTCAAGAGATAAGAGGAAGCAAAATGTTCCAGCCAACTGCTTTAATGAAGGCATGGACCAGGGAAGAGAGCAGATTGTCAGTTCTCCTGACCCTGGGTCTAGAGCACACACGGTAACACATTCATGCAAGGACCACCAGGGTACACCTTGGCAGCTGGTCCCTCTGAGTCTCTTTACACGTCTTTCCTCTTAAGTCAGTTGTGGGTTAGATATTTGGGCCCCTGAGGTGATGTGCTACAAAGACTGCCTGTGCATCCACAGTTCTGCAAGACGGTGCCATTGACAAATGGAAAAGGTCAATTATTGCTTTGTTGAGCATGACAAAAATATTGGCTGATTTCCTGAATCTTAATGTGTGTTGTGCTACAATGGGGATTAAGAATAAAGTTTACATTTCCAACGCAATGATCATTTGTATTTTTACTTAATGCTACTTATAAGATGATTGCACAGATAGAATCTATTACCATTATTATTATTATTACTGTAAATATAGTTTAAAATGGTGAATTAAATTGTGATCGATTTTGAAGATGATGTGCAGAACAAATGAGTGACGAATGTATGCGAAAGTTTTCAGTTTAGGGACCAAGGGTAGACAGTATGTACATGTGGAAGAGTTTCAGTGATTAACCTTTGCATCAAATATTAATAACTTAGAATGCTTGATCTTCCTAACTGGGAGCTGTTTTAGAATAGCCATTCTCAAACTTGAGCATGTGTCAGAATCATCTTTAAGGCTTATTAAAATACAGGTGGGGCACGGTGGCTCGTGCCTGTAACCCAACACTTTGGGAGGCCAAGGCAGGTAAATCACTTGAGTCCAGGAGTTCAAGACCAGCCTGAGCAACATGGGGAAACCCAATCTCTACCAAAAATCCAAAAATTAGCAGGGCGTGGTGGTGTGGGCCTGTAGTCTCAGCTACTACAGAGGCTGAGGTGGGAGGATTGCTTGAGCCCAAGAAGTCAAGGCCGCAGCGAGCCAGGATCATGACACTGCACTCTAGCCTGGGGGACAGAGAGAGATCTTATCTCAAAACAAACACCCCACAAATTGCTGAACCCCATCCCCAGATTTTCTGATTTAGGGTGTCTGGGGTGGAGCCCATGAATCTGTTTCTTTATTATAGTAAGTTCCCAGGTGATGTGGATTCTGCTGGTCCCCAGAGAGTTTGAGAACTATTGACTCAGAACAAACATCCCGTCTCTGATAGCGCCTTTCCACCAGGTGAGCTGGAATGCAACGTAACTGGATTTGTTTTAAATAGGCCACCTTACGCAGTCAGATTTCCCAACCACTTTTAGCATTTTACAGACCAAGAGAGCCGTGACTTCATTATTTCTCACTAGAAGAAAAAAAAATCATTTGTCTCTCTGTCCTGGGATTGAAAAAAATTTTTTTAAAAAAAAGATCACAAACCTTAGGAAGATTTTAAAGGAATCTTATAGTTAACTGTAGCCTTAGCTGCATGTTTCTTGTGTCTTAATAACTAAACGCATTTAGACTTCTTGCATTTCCCAGTACTCCAAGGAAATCATTGAAAAGCTGCTTCTTCATCTAGGTTTGTCCTTCATTGGGACCCTCTTGGGCTAGCGCGCTTCGAGGTGATGACCAGCAGGTGGCGCTCTGCATCAGTTCATGGGGGCGGCCTGACTCGGGTGAAGGCAAACACACAAACCAAGGGGCCTGCTTGAAATCCTCAAAGTAAAGGTCCTCTTAACCACTTGTCATAAAACACCCTGAGACGCCAGTCTTGGAAAATCGAAGTGTCAAGCTCAGCATCTTTGCCACATTTCAAACTAGGTAATTACCTTCTCTCCCAAAGGGAATCTGCTTTATGTATTTGTGTCCTTTCTAGGTTACAAGTTTCCCAAAGGCAATGATCTTGCCTTCCACTCACTCCATACAATGCTGAAGTGAAATGCATATTTTACAATAACAATTTAATTATTCTACATTCCTCTGAGCTACATGATGACCTGTTACATAATTGCCAGTAATATAGAAATGTGCCTGCCTCATACAAACCTTTGCAATCCATGGAAGTTTTTATTTGACCTAAGAGTACATTGCTTATTTACTTCTCCTTTACAATACAAAAAGCAGAGCATTTCCCCGCCATCCCAACTTATAAGTCGTAATCAAATAAACAACACTGCATTTCAGTCTGTCATTTTTATTAAGCCTGCAGAGCTGGTTTTTTTTTTTTTTCTACACACGACAAATACTTTGATATAATCTAGGATAATAAAATAGTTGAACAACTTTTTTTTTAAGATTTATATTTGTATAGAAACAATCTGTGGAGCTCCTCACCTCGAAATGAAGGTGTCTAAAAACAGTGGTTCATCAGCATTGCTTTAAATAATTGTTTGGTTAAAAGTTGTGGTTTCCATTCTCAACCAAAATGTGTCTCCATGCAGTTTTCCTTGGGTCCAAAGCTTAAGGCCCTGGGAAGGTGGCCAAGAAAAAAAGAATGGCCACTCCTTTCTGTCCTTCCCTTGTGTGGAGGACAGTCGTTGAAACAGGGGTGTTACAAAACCCAGGAAGAAAAGAAATCAATTGCACATCTCTAGTTTGCAAGCATCAAAGTCACAACAAGTCTTTACACAACAACTCCCTATCTGTGGATATGAAATTCCATCATGACCGCACAGTGCCTGCTTGCCCCTAAATGTTCCTGTCTTCTGCTAATCATGTCAGTTACCACAGATGGCTGTGGCCGCAAGCTCTCCCTTAAGGGCTGGTCCTCTGTCACCTTGAAGTGCCAGCCCTTGAATTATGCCACTTGGATGCTATGCCTTGGTACCCAATAAAGGTCTACCATCCCCTAAGAAAACCCTTACCCCACCCTCAAACCCCCAAAGTGCCTAAGAGTGAAGACGAAGATGCCATGGAGACGGTGTCTTCAGTGAACACCTCCCCAAAGATGCCCGGGGACTCGGGCCTATATCATCCCATTGATCTTAGTCCACTCGTAGATGTCCTGTTCGCACACTATGTCGGAGTTGATGAGGAGGTATCTGTCACCTACACAGAAATGCTTCTGACAGGCGGCACATTTGAAACATTCCAGGTGATACACTTTGTCTTTCACCCGCATCGTCATCTCATAGGCACGAATCCGTTTGTCACAGGATGCGCAGAGACCGTCTTGCCCAAAAAGCCTGGGGCAAAAGAAAGAAAAGCTAAGAAGACAGTGTAAGGGACAATCCTGGAAGACAGGGCTCAGGGATGAGCCCTAGAAAGGAGGCCGAACTTTCAGGATGTCAGGAAGCCAGGAAAGGACAGCTCCAGAAGGAGGGCCGGCTAGCGCAATCTTTCCGAGCAGGCAGAGGGAACTCAGATGAAACTGGCATTTGGATCTGGCGTAACTCCTCCCTTTTCTGAGCCCTCTCGCTGTCTGCAGCAACCGCTCACCATTCCCCTGGGCTGCCCCCTGGCTGCTCCTCTGTGGGCGAGACTCTCAGCTGATGTGATCTATGATAAGGAGTTAGGCAAGTATTACCTGTCCCCTCCCAGGGGAACCCTCATTTCAGAAGAGCAGCTGGAAGGAGACCCTAAGGGTCCCTCTGAGAGGGTACTGACCAGGAATGCAATAAAATGGGCATTCTTCTGAGGCTCCCAAACTCTATCATATCAACAGCCACGGATTCTACCCATGGGGAGAGCTGACCTTGAATACCTCCGTAAGCTGCAAAGCACATCTCCACCTGCTTATTCGCTGCGGCCCCAGCTGCTGGGAGACAGGGACTTCCACAGAAAACACGCAGTACAGCTAATCGCGCCTCTGAGATACACAGGACAAACAGCATCTCTCCACCATGAATAGAAGATCTTAATTCATGGCCCTTGCTGCCCCATTGTCATGAATCAAAAGTGAAACTTTTTTTCTGACATTTAAACCAAGACTCTGCCAAGCCTCAGTTGATCAGTCACTTATTTCAGGCAGTATTCAGTGTCAAGGTGGGAGACAGAACATGGCAGGGCTCAGTGCAGTGGTTCTCAAAGTGTTGGTCCTGGGACCAGCAGCATCAGCACTGCCTGGGAACCTGTTAGAAATACAATTTCTCAGGCTGGGCGCAGTGACTCACACCTGTAATCCCAGCACTTTGGGAGGCTGAGGCAGGCAGATCACTTGAGCTCACAAGTTTGAGACCGCCCTGGGCAACATGGTGAAACTCTGTCTCTCCAAAAAATACAAAAATTAGCCGGGTGTGGTGGTGCATGCCTCTAGTCTCAGCTATTAATACTTGGGAGGCTGAGGTGGGAGGCTTTAGCCCGGGAAGTGGAGGTTGCAGTGAGCCGAGATCATGCCACTGCACTCCAGCCTGGGTCACAGAGCCAGACCTTGACTCAAAAAAAAAAAAAAAAAAAAAAACCCAACAAATTCTCAGCCCTCTTCTCTCCCTAACCAACTGAAACACCCTGGGGAGAAGGCCCAGTAGTCTGTGTTAACGAACAGTTCCGGGGGACTGGATGCAGGCTGACATTTGAGAATCAACAGCAAAAGTGCAGTAACACAAGTACCGGAAGCAGAGTAGACCCAGCTTCAATGTCCTGGTCCAGCCCTGAGTGACCCTGGAGAGACCTCTGATTCTAAGCCTCAGTGAAACAGCAGCCATCATAGGCTCCACCCCACTCAGCTGTTAGAACAACCGAACGAAGCATGTCAGGGCACCCATGGTCAAGGGCTAAGCCAACGCTGCTTATGTTTTAACACATTTTGGGTGTATTCCCAGCTGCACCAGTCTTGCTGCAGGAAGTAATTTTCACTCGTGGCTGAAAACATAGCATGTTAGCAGGTGGTTTCTACATAAAACCTTTAGGACAGTTTTAGGTGAGTGCTTGCTCTTACTGGAAGTTCTGATTGATTTCAGGATATCAGAGAATCAATTGGTACATTCTGAGAGGTTGTAGGAGACGTAAGGGCAGTTGACACATTTTGCAATATTTGGGCAAAATTAATGGAATTGAGAAGAGGTGGTCCATGAGTGGAGAGCTCATTGTTCGGGCCAGGGCCAGCTAATTTTCCTCTGAATCCTGCTTTCCATTTGAAGATTTCCGAGTGTTTCCAAAGCACCGCCTGGGAGCAAACTCATTACTGGGGGAGAACATTTTATCCCAACGTAGCAGATGGTGGAGCGGCAGGTAACCGCCACATTGGAGGTCACAGAGTGGAAAGACAGTTCTGGTTTCCTGACTGTTCTGTAAGTTAAGTTTGGGCCTGAGCAAGGATGAACGACTGAGAAAACAGTGTGCATGGCATGAATCCAACCGCCTGGGGTGGGCGATCCTTAAGGAAGGAGGGAGCTTATTAAAGGGAAGTCGGGGGTAAATTACAATCCACATCAGGCAGCTAATGAAGGGAAGGACCAAGGACGAATATATGAGAGACAAGTTCAGGTCCCAGCATCACCTCTAACTTACCAGGTGACCTGAGCAAACGGAGTCCCCTGCACAGGCTTCCGTGACTTAAGCCGTAAAGCAAGGGAACTGAAAGAGAAGGCCCTTGTAGCCCTTTCCAGCTCTGGGATTCTGAGATTCTAATATTCGTAAAAAATAAGCCAGGAATTGACACCTAACTTGAACATTAACCTCTGGCACCAAGAATTGGTATCTTAGGCTGGATATGCCAGAAGTGGCCCCTGAGGCAAGGATTTATGTGTCAGTGATTTATGAATGATGCATTCTCAGGAAAAACCTGGAAGGCAGCAGGGGAGGCTGGAGGGAAGGGGAGGAGGCCAAGCCAAGTTGTAACCTCAGGCAAAGTCTCTCAGAGGGGAGGGACTCTGGAATATAAGTTATGCCTGGCTTCGGGCAAGGCTGCAGGGCTTGGTACTCCCACCATGTCTGTCACTGGTTAAGGTCCGTTGGGGGTGTAGCGGGGGCAGGCATACTTCTGGCTCTAACAGATTCAGGTGCTGGCTGTTAAAAGCAAAACCACTGCCATCACCACCACCCCACCACTCCCAGCACACTAGAATTAGTGAAAAGGGATCCAAGGAGATCTGGCTCGGCACAGACATGAACAGCTGCTCTCAGGTTCCCAACAACACAGCAGAGTTGAGGTTCCGCATGGGGGTCTCATGAATATTTGAAGCGAAATGTCGGAAAAGAACTGTAACAGGCAACTCAGCCACTGGAAATCCTCATGGGGACAAGTTATCCTAGGGGTGAATTAGAATTCAACCCCATTACAGGGCTCGTTCAGTCACTCTTCCAACTTGCCTTGTTCAAAGATCCTGCCAGATATACCAAGAATGCAAGTAAACAAGATCTTGGCTAAAGGACCATCCCTGAAGCAAAAGACAATTTTTCTCCTCTGTCAAGAGGTGTCCCATCTTAAGCTCTCTGCTGCCCATTTTAATAACAATAATATAAATGTTAAAGGATGGCTGGAAATGCCTGCACTAACGCAGAGTTAATTAACATGTTGCCTAGGAATGTGGCAGGGAGAAGAATTATTTCATGTCACCAAGACACAAGTTAATTAACATTGGGTTCTCCCAGACTGTTTTTTTTTTTTTTTTTCTTCCTCTCCTTTTTGAAAATGGAAAGGATTAACAAGCCCAGGCAGCAATGGTTTTATTCCTGAATGTTATATAAAACGGTAGAGATAGGGAGAAGCCGGGGCTCTTCTGACCTTACTCAATCTGCACTTCATTTAATAAGATTCAAATGATTTGACAGGGATGGAGTCAAGGGTCCGATGGGATTCATTTACCCGTCTGCCTTCTCACTGACTTGGCAAAGTGGGAGTGAGCAAAACCAGGTCTGTATTTATCCCAGTTCTATTTTTTGGGACTTTAAAAAAGGAAAACTGACCAAAATTATAAGCATGATCATTGCAAAACCCTACTTATTTTCTCGGAACCACCATATCTGCAAGGACTGCAAGGACTTTATCTGCGAATTCAAGAAGGACAAAAGGCTTCTTCCATCAGTCTTTAGGTAAAGCCTCCTTCACTGTGAAACTGCCTGCAGTTTTTTGGTTTGGTTTTCTTTCTGTAACGTAAAATGCTCCGAGGGCAGGTTCGAGGGGAAAAGCTGGCCCAGCAGCCAAGGGCGCTGAGGTCTCAACAAGCTTCCATGGGTTGGATGGTCCGGGTGCATCAGGGAAGCATGCCTCACAGACCCTCTGCTCCAGGAAGACGGAGAAATCCTGACAGCTACACAGTTGAGCAGATCTGACAGTAGAGGGCACAGAGAGTTACCTCCACGGCAGCTCCTCGGAAACTAGAAACGCTAGTACATTCTAGGCAAAGGCATTCACAGAGTGCTGGAAAATTCGGATGGCCAACAGAAGCATGGGAGATGTCCTCAGCTCCCGTCTTACTTGGCGTGGTCGAGTTCCTATTTTACCCTTCCATTCTTCCATCTCTTTGCTCATTAGATTGGAAAATAATGATTACGTCATAAGGATAAGTTATAAGAGCAGCTAACATCTATTTGATCCATACCGAGTCAAGTAGTTTATCTGCATTATTTCATCAAATCCTCCCCACATCCTTAGAGGTAGGTGCTATTATGATCCCCATTTTACAGATGAGGAAATCAAGTCTTAGGAAGGTTAAGTAACTTTCCCAAGGCCACCGGGAAGCAACGGTGTTGGGACTCGAACCTCCAACTGCCTGCAGGGCCTTTGCCTTCTGTTCTTCAAAGACTGCCTTCCTGCTATGAGTCAATGCTTGGAGCTCCACATGCTTTCTATTGTTAAATTTCTCATCATATAATACTGGAGTCATACAAAAGAATATTTATAACATATATATGTGTGTGTGTGTGTGTGTGTTCTGAAGCATTCAAATGAGGTCCTCAGAGCCCACCTCCTAAGTTAGAAACACTCCCAGTTCCTCTGACCCTCCGTGCGTACTCCTCCTCAACCCCATCCCCTGGCTTCTCCCGCTCCCCAAGGGAACAACTTCTCTGAATTTTGGGGGTACAATTCTCTTGCCTTTAAAGATATTAGTATTTTACCACATAGGAACGTAACCCTGAAAATATGCTTCTCAAACAGGAAGAAATGCCCTCTGCTTCTCCGCAGGGGAGCTGAGACTCAGTTTCTGCAGCCTGACCTCTTTCTATAGGTGGTGTCTAAGCCTGGAACAGGGTCGGGGGCAACATGCACAGACTGCAGATGTCCAGGGACCACCCAGCCTCCCTTCCGAGGGCCCCAGTGGAGTGCCGCGGAGGGTACCTGAGATAGTCTCTCCGGCAGAGCTTCCGGCCCAGTTTGTAGTAGAGGCGCCGCCCCACCTCGCCCAGCCGGCAGCCACAGAGGTCGCAGCTCAGGCAGTCCTCGTGCCAGTACTGGTCGATGGCCTTCAGGAAGTAGCGGTCCCCGATATTCTGCTGGCAGCCGCCGCATGTCAGCAGGGACGGGGGGATCTGCAGCACCTCATCCACTGGTTCCCTGGAGAGAAGGCCAAGCATCAGGGACAGCCTCACCAGGGTGAGACCAGCACTGGGGGTCCGAGATCATTTTGGGCCAGACAGGGTACCTCACCTGACTGCCTTTTGGTGACCTAAGGGAGAAGGGACAGGACAACACATCCCTTGGCCAGATTGCAGAGTCCCAACCAACCTTGGGTTAAGACGGAAGAGAGCCAGACCTTACTCCCTAGATCTCTAAGAAGTCAACACAAGGCACCAAGAGGCATCAAAGGCAACTGCAGGTGGCACTGTGCCCCTGCCCATGCCCAGCACTACCTGGGCACCTCTGGTCTCCTTCTGCTTTTTCCCTCTCTCCCCGCTGACTCTCCCTCTCTGTCTTCACAGATTTCCCTCATTTTCCTCCTCCTATACCCTGAACCCAAGGGCACTGCCTAACCTCAAAGGAGGCACCCTGGACTAAAAGAGTCGCTCACCATCAGGGCAGTGGACGACCCAGAGAGCTAAGAATCTGCAAATCCCCTGTTGAGTAAAGTGCCATCCTCCCTCCAGCCCTTCCCCCCCACACAAAAGCAGAGGTGAGGAAGAAAGAAGAATGAGACCAAACATTATTTTAGGCTGCTTTCTCTTTCCAAAATAAAAATTCCATCAGGATATAATAGGAATTCTCCTAGTTTTACTCTTTTACAGAAATTCCATTTTCCATTCTTCCTACTGAAGGAATACTTGGAGGAAAATCCCATATTGTAAGGCCATTGTTACACTTATGAAGAACATCAAATAGGCCTTTCTTTCTTTACCTGAACATTTTTATAACAGTAAAGCTGATTCGGATAAAGTTGATTTGAGGAAGAAAATGAAGTGGGGGCAATGATTATTTCAGAGAGAGTGGAAGGCAATTAAACAGTCATTGACATCTCAATCCAGCAATTGTTAATAGGCTGTGACACGCATTCTTTCATTAATGTGCCATGCATAGTATCTCTTGTTCACTTTGCTTCACTGGAATCTGAGTACTTTTTTAACATTTAAAAATAAATAATTTTGCTAAAAGAAATAAACGAGTGGAAGGAATTATTCTAGTGTCCCCCAAATGGGACACAGGAAACACTTAATACTTGTTGATTTGTAATAATTAGCAAGTGTTCTCTGGAACCTTAAACACAAATCTATTTCTTAAAAATCTATTATGTTTCAAAAACCAGACCTTCTTCCAACTGTAAAATTCGCAAAGGGAGTTTCCTCCTGGGTGCTCTGAAGGTATAAATCCATGTCTCCTATTTCTAACTAGTACTAACTTACCAGGTGACCTTGTGTCCTAATTGGTCTGAACCCACAAAGCCCAGCAGTCATTATACTTGGGGACAGAAGGCTAGGTGGCTCAATGTCTATAACACTCTGACAACTTCAGAGGATTCTGTCATGTGAAGAATGAAGCCTTTCTTGTGAATATTTAGGAGTGTTAAAGCCATGCCCACACTTTCTAGATACAGTGTAACAGCACTTCATGAGATTATCATCTTTGGAACAAGAAAATGTGAAGCTCAAGTTAGTTTATCTGGGAAAAAAAAAAATGGCCAGGCACAGTGGCTCACGTTTGTAATCCCAGCACTTTGGGAGGCCAAGGCAGGAGGATCACTTGAGCCCAGGAGTTTGAGGCCTGCCCGCGCAACATGGCAAAATCCTGTCTCTACAAAAAATATAAAAAATTGCCCAGGCTTGGTGGCATGAGCCTGTAGTCCCAGCTACCCAGGAGGCTGAGGTGGGAGGATCACCTCAGTACAGGAAGTGGAGGCTGCAGTGAGCACTGCACTCTAGCCTAGACAACACAGTGAGACCCTAGCTCAAAAAAATCAAAACTATAGTTTCTTTTTTTTTTTTTTTTTTTTTGAGACAGAGTCTTGCTTTGTAGCCCAGGCTGGAGTGCAGTGGCACGATCTCGGCTCACTGCAAGCTCCACCTCCTGGGTTCGCGCCATTCTCCTGCCTCAGCCTCCCAAGTAGCTGGGATTACAGGCATCCGCCACCAGGCCCAGCTAATTTTTTGTATTTTTAGTAGAGACAGGGTTTCATTCACTGAAGCCTTGCTTTCTTTCCTCTGTTTCTACAGATTGTATATAAGGACTGCCATTTTCCCTTCTAATAAGTAATACCCTAGCGTTTTTATGTGTATCAACTCGGAATTGCATCTCTTCTCTTTCCACAGCCCATGGTCTTACTCTGGGCTTTCAAAACCACTCATGGGACCTCGACAGACATTGGATGTCCCGATGCAGATGCTGCCAAAGGACTGTGAAAGAGGATAATTTGCCCTTAGCTGGTGCAAAACTGCCTGGAATTCAAATGAACTGCTCTTGTTACTCACAGGGGAGGCAGTGGGGGCCACCAGTGGCATAGCAAGGGAATCTCTGTGTTCATGAATTCTGGCTGGCTTTCTGTCCAAATGTTTCATTTGCATATAGCTAGGCAAGTCTCCATCTGTAATTTGGAGATGCTGATTGTAATGACCCAAGTCGGCTTTGAGGAAGTACACAATGAAGCATCTAGTAGGATACTGGACAACAGGAGGAACGTAAAGTAAAAGAGTTACGGTGATGGCCTGAGATGAGATGGAGAAGTAAAGTATAAGATATTGGCTCTGTCTTTCTATAATTAATTGATAATATCACATTATACTTAGTGGGCAATCCAAGACAATGAATGAGATTGATTCACCCTCAAATTAATATTTTATATTCTCCCAGACCCTTATCTTGAATATTACACCTGAGTATCATTTCAGCCTGGATTTCTGGGATAATCATAACAATTTCTAAGGGGGTGGAGAATGTGCTGCTGCAATTTCTCAACTAGCTTGTCCCTCTTTGATCAGAAACTATCTTCGCTGGGCAAATAGTGAAGTGAAGGAAGGAGCTGGTGAGCCTCCAGCAGTAGATACCTGCTGTGTTAGGAAGTTAGGAAGTTTCAGTTTTCTAACCTCAGTGAAAAAGCACAAACTTTGAAAGATGCAAACTTCCTTCAGGGAAATGAAACCTTCAGATTTACCTTCTAGTGAAAGGATTAGTGACTAAATTCTGCTGATCAAAAAGGCATGAGGCACCAATTCATCCAATTCACTCCCTTATTGTGTTACTATGATCTTGCCCAGTCTCAAACTCAAAGCTCAGTTGTAATTTTAAGTCTATTTTTTAAAAAGTGATCAAACCACCCTTTAAACCCATTGTTGACATAAACATACTTTTAAAAAGAAATGTTATTTTTCTCCTGAGAATTTGTTGAAGGAAGTGGGGGTTTTTGCTACAACAAACCTAGCTCATTACAGAACTGGTGTCTTAACCTTCAAGACGGAATAGTGATGTTTATATTCTCATTGGATGGTGGTACTTCCTGTGTTTTATGAGAACATGCTGAGCTTTTATGCTGCTAACTGAGGGTAAAACCCAGGTAAATAAACACCATAGAAAGCCGAAATTGAAGGGTGTATGTGTGTGTGTGTGTGCGGTATTTCAAGCAGGAAAGCACAATTCTTTTAAACCAGGAAAAGAAAAAACAAAACAAATGTCTCTTAAAAGCACAAATGGACAAGTCATTAACCAGCTCCTTTGGTCTTGTGTAACAAATCCCTTCAAAGGATTAGAGGGGGACTTCAAAGGAATAAAAATTCTCAAAACCAGACAGCTAATGACTCTTAAAAGGGCATTTGCGTTGACAGGAAAATGATATCTTAAACACCCCTTGCTACCCATGTTAACACTAAAGAATTGGTGAGAGATAGAAAAACATTCCAAACCAGTACGAGGCTCAGAAAACAGATGCGGTCAATGCTCATTAGAGCTCTGGTTCCCTGACCCCAAACCCTTTTGAGACTATGCTAAAAACTACGAGACTCTACTCCCTAGAAGAATTCACCTGTACACAAAATGGTGCATTAACTTTCGAGGTTCACAGGCCCCCATCGGTGGACCCCGAGGAGGGCTACACGTACTCAGATTTACTCCGGATTTCGCTGCTCTAGAAATCCCCGGAGGCCCAGAGCCAGCTCCGAGGTGGACGGTCGGACCCCTCACCCGCCCGTTACCCGCGCGGCTGGCAGCGGCTCCACCTGCGGACCGGGAAGGCGGCCGCTGGGGACCCCGGAGGCCTCCACTTGGAATGTTCCCCTTTCCAAGACCAAATGGACAAAGAGAAAGGGCCGAGAAGGAGAGGTGAGAAGGGAGCCCAGTCAAGCACGGAACGCTCTGCGGACTGCACCTGCACGCCTCCAGGCTCCCCTTGTGCCTGCTCCCGTGCAAACTTTCTGGCCCGCGGTGGCTTTAGGCAGCGTCCTGACAGCCTGGAGTGGCCCGCAGAGGCGCCGGGCCGACCCCTCTCCCTGCCGCCCACCGCCCAGTCCCTCTCCCAGCGCCCCCGAAGTCACCCGGGAGGAAGAGGGAGCCCAGCGCTCCGCACAGGGGGCCAAGAGCACACCGCAGGCGCGCACCTGGAGTCCCCTCGAGGGCCGCCCGGGTCCCCCAGCCGCTCCGGGACGCGAGGCCGTGGACACCGGGGGTGGCATGGGCAGGGGCGCCGCACTTACTCTGAAGGGTCCAGGCTCTTCCTTTCGATGGCCGAGGACATTGGGGAGGGAGGCGGCGTGCCGGGCGGCAGGGGCGCTCCCTTTGTGGCGCGGGGTTGGCCGGCTGCCGGGGCTCGGACCCCCTCGGGTGCTCGGGCGCCGCCGCCGCCGCTCCTGCGCCTCCGCTTGCTCCGGCGCTCCGGCGGCGAGCTCGCCCCTCCGCGCTCAAGGACAGTCACCGCGCTCCCTTCAAATGCCAAAGAGAGAGAGCGAATCACCGGGCTGCGGGCGCGCCGCGGCCGAGGCGGGGGCCGGGGCGCGCAGCCTGGCCCCGGGCGGCTGCAGCTGCTGCTGCTGCTCAGGACTTAACCTTCCATCCCGGTCCCGCCGCCTCCGCCGCCCGGTCCCTCTCGCGCGCTGTCGCCGGCTCCGCGCCGCCCGCGGGGATGGTGCGCGCCCGCCCGGCCGCCCCGAGCCCCTCGCACCTTCGGCCCGGGTAGCGGGCGCTGCTCGCCGCCGAGGGCAGAACGGGGGCGGCGGCCTGGGGGCGGGGAAGGGACTGTGCGTCTCTCCCCGGGCTTCCTCCTCTCTCGGGAAGGTCTATTTTCGCTCAGCTTCCCTCTGTCTCTGGTTTCATTTCCTTTTTCCTGATCACGATTCAAATACAATAGAAGGAAATCACATTTAAAGAGACAGCTGCCCGGTTCCCCCACCTCCCCTTTTTTCTTCTTCTTTTTTTTTTTTTTTTTTTTTTTTATACGGGGCTCCTGGGGATTAGCAATACAAACAGCAGCATCAGGACTGACTTGGCTTCTTAAAGGGGCCAGTGTCAGGGACGGGGAGATCCGCTCAGCTAACACCTCTCCTTGGAGAGGAGGCTGGGCAGCCACTAAATAATTCTTCAGGGCTTCCCCCCTTCAGCCTTTCCCTTTTGGTTTAACTAAGGCAGAAAGTAACCCACGAACGGCTCGAGCAAGCAAGAAAAAACAAGAATGTGAAATAAGCACCTACAGAAATGCAAGTGTTCCGAGTGGATTTTGAGCCCGTCCCAGGTTCGAGATCCCAGGTCCACGGACGCGGAGCACCGGGATGCCCCGGACAGCGCGGCTCTGCGGGCTACCGGCTGCGGGCTCCAGGCTGCGGCCGCGCTCTGCAGAGGCGATGGGGGTGCGCGAGCCGGGACTGCACAGGCTGGGGACGCCTGAGCAGAGTCAGGGCAGCTAATCCCAGAGGGAGGGTGGCTGGGAGGGACTTCGTGGGGCCAGGGCTCCTCTCAGTCGGCTGGTGTCGGAATCCCCTCCCTCAGCACCTTTCAGAGAGCGGACTCCTGCGGTTAAACTGCCCCCCATGTAAAGTGCCAGTAGTACCCCGACCAGAGAAAGTGTTTTTCCAGTGATCCAGAACAGTATTAGGGAGATTATTTTGCCCTGGGTCAGGCACAGAGAAAGAAGGCGGACTTGATTTGGGGGTTCAGGCTTCCCCCCTCAGCCTCCTTCTAGAAAGAGGTAGGAACACAGAGGGTAAGAGAGGGGAGGCCAATAGTCTGCCCTTCCATGGAGACAACGTTTGTCTCTCCTGGGCCTCAGAGGTCCTTGAAAATATCTGCGTTCAGAAACCGAAAGGCCTATTTGTGCGTGATGCCAGTCACTAAGGCTTGCAAAGAGGGAACGTACTTTCAGGATCCATAGTTTTATATGATCAGTCTGGATCATAGGCATACATTTTTGTTCCCATTTTCAAGATGGCACATGGGCCTGGATGAGCTCACCCTGAAAGATGGTAGTTGAAGTCAGAAGTGAATCCCTGAGTGCTTCATTTTCCCTGTTCAGAGCCAAAGCTTCATGACTTGTTACAAGTATAACCATAGTTTACTACTGCCTGCATGCTTTTGTCATTTTCTGGTCCCTGTGTCCCAAGGCTTGGGTCCCTCATGGGTATAATCAAAAGCTGTGTGTGTGTGTGTGTGTATCTCAAAGAAAACCTTAAGAGCAAATTTTTGTCCAAGTGGAGCCTTCAGTATACAAAAAGACTTTTTTCCGGCTGTGCTCGGTGGCTCATGCCTGTAATCCCAGCACTCTGGGAGGCCCAGGCTAGCCTGAGCAACACAGTGAGCCCCCATTCCTACAAAAAAGAAAAAAGAAAAATAATTAGCTGGGCGTGGTGGTGCTTCCCTGAAATCCTAGCTACTCAGGAGGCAGAGGTGGGAGGATTGCTTGAGCCCAGGACGTTGAGGCTGCAGTGAGCCATGATCGCACCACTGCCCTCCAGTCTGGGGAACAGAGTGAGACCCTGCCTCAAAAAAAAAAAAAAAAAAGTTTTTTTTTTTCCCAATAGACCCTTGTTTTTAATCTAAAAAAGAAAAATCTTAGAATTTTAGGCAAGCCTAAACTATGTGATAAATATGTAACCTACCACACTACCACACTACTTTCATTTCTAACAGAAATGAAAATAAACATATAGGTTGTGATGAACAGTTTACCTACTTTAACCAGTCAATGTGGTGGTTAAATGCTGGAATTTTGGAACCCAACTGCCTGGGTTTGATTTAGACTCTTAAAACGTATCAGCTAGCATGGCCTAGGAAAATTATTTAATCTGAGGAGGCAGTATGCGGTAGTAGCTCTGGAGTCAGACTACCTGGATTCTAGCCCACCCTTGACCACCTGTGTGAACCTGGGCTCACAGCAGGAATTTAAACTCCCAGTATCCTGGCCAGGCTCAGTGACTCACACCTGGAATCCCAGCACTTTGAGAGGCCAAGGTGAGCGGATCACTTGAGGTCAGGAGTTCATGACTGGCCTGCCCAACATGGCGAAACCCCATCTCTACTAAACATACAAAAATTAGCCGGGTGTGGTGGGACATGCCTGTAACCCCAGCTACTCGGGAGGCTGAGACAGGAGAATTGCTTGAACCCTGGGAGGCGAAGGTTGCAGTGAGCCAAGACTGCCACTGCACTCCAGCCTGGGTGACACAGCGAGACTCTGTCTCAAAATAAATAAACAGATAAACAAACAAACAAATAAAATAAACTCCCAGTATCCTCATCTATAAAATGGAGATGACAGTTCCTATTGCCTAAGTTATTGCGGGGATTATATGAGTAGTGCACAACAGGGTGGCACATAGATTTGTAATGGCATGGGGGTAATAACAGATATGAGGTTGCTTGCATGAAAAGCAACTGGTATACAGTAAGCACTCATAAATGGCAGCTGCTATGTTATGGCAAAGGGCATCATGAAGATAATTTTAAAAGAGCTTGACATTAAATTTAAAGGTGAAATGGGGGTTTAAAATAAGAATTGCCCACCCAAATTTGGAAACTATTTCCTGTGTTGTAAAAGCAGGAAACAGGATCCCTTCACCTCACCCCCTTCTCCTAAATAAAACATGTAAGTGTTTTCTATTTTCATGTTCATTATAGTGGTGACTAAATGACCTGTTTGCATCTGCTTGGGTGTTGTTTGTTTGTTTGTTTTTTGAGATGGAGTCTCTCTCTGATGCCCAGGCTGGAGTGCAATGGTGCAATCTCAGCTCACTGCAACCTCCGCCTCCTGAGTTCAAGCAATTCTCCCTGCCTCAGCCTCCCAAGTAGCTGGGATTACAGGTGCCCACCACCACGCCCAGCTAATTTTTTGTATTTTTAGTGGAGATGGGGTTTCGCCATGTTGGCCAGGCTGGTCTCAAACTCCTGACCTAAGGCGATCTACCTGCCTCGGCCTCCCAAAGTGCTGGGATTCCAGGCGTGAGCCACCGTGCCTGGCCACATCTCCTTGTTTTTATTTAATCTGATAAATTATTACTTTCCTTGTTACAGTTCTGCATGGGGCTTAAGTCAGTTGTTAAAATAAATATATCCTTGGGTTCCAAGAGGTAACCTCAGAACAGCCAATTTCAGGGCATAAAGTTTCTTTTTAATAATATGCTTCTACTTTGACCTGAGAGTGTAAAGAAAAAGAGATTACTGCATATGACTTTGGGTCAGTTTCTTATCTTGCACAACTCTTTGGGGAGAACTTCCTTAGAGAAGGTGAATATTTGAAATGGTATCTTAAGATTTCAATTTCACACACAGTGGTTGTAAGAAATAACTGCCTGCCGGTGGGATTTCATTCCTATTCAACGGGCAATTAAATTGCTCAAATTTAAGTTTAACAGTTAGAATCAAGTCTCAAAATGTGTTCTTATTATGAATAATTTTAAAGCAATCATGACCTTATTGTATCCTCCCATAACAACTAGTACATGCCTTATGCAGAAGAGAGACTCAGGAACTGTGAGGTGATTGGGACATGTAAAACGGTTCTTTAAAAGTTGAGGAAATCTCTATTTGATCCCTGCCAGTGGGACTGAAATTTCATTCCTTTTCCCTTTCCCCCAACTCCTTGCAAATCTTCAATATTCTAAAGTCTAGAAAATGTTCAAGTTTTCCTTCCTGAATAAGAATGCTAGAAGAATGAATCAATCTACATCATGGCTCTGACCCCAGATGGATCATTTTTTTCCCCCTGTGGGCATTTTCTATTCTTTTCGCTTATTACATTTACAATTGTTTTCTAGGGAAGAGCAGATTCAAGTGACTAAGGTTACATTCCTTTGCTAAAATGGACTTCTGGTAGAAATGAAAATGCAAATATAATTGAGAAGATCCCAACATTATGATAATTTACCTCTCTCTTTTTTTTTTTTTTCAAACCATTAGAAGCCAAGTTGCAACATACGCTTTGTCACTTGTGACATTCCTATATTAAAATATGACATTTTGTTTCTAAATGTGGCATTCAGGAACAAAAATAAAGATCTGTCTTAATAGGGGTTCAGCTCCCATGGAGAATTTTTTAAACTATTCAGTTGTCACAGGCATCTTGCACTCAGACTCATTTCAGAACATTTCAGGACCAGCTGATAGATAAGTTTTCACAGATGTTAGGCCTATTAGTAACCTTAGTGATAGGCAAATTCGGTTTTCTGTATAGTGAAGAGCCCAAAATACATCTTTTAAAAAATCCATTTCAACTGAGTCTTAGGATGAGCGTAGAAGCTCAGCTGTTTGCTAGCTGTGTGATCTGGGGGAATTTACTTCACCTCCCTGAACCTCAGTTTCTGTACCTGTCAAGGGGAGGATGGAGGCAATCATAATGTCACCAGGGCCAGAACTAGGATGAGGCCACTGGGGTGCCTGCTTGCCTCACAGGAGTTTTGAGAGGATTCAATAGGACATGTATAAAAATGCTTTGCACAGTGATGCTGCACAGTAAATGGTCAGAAATGATAGCTGTTGGTATTACCCCATCTTTCAGAAGTAATCACCACTGTATCAGGAAACAACAATCTCCCAGCCAATCAGGACATCCGCCAAAGAGTGCTGAGACTGGGGTGCTGTAGAAAGCGCTGAAGTTCACCAAAGACCTCGGCAGGCCTCAGGCCAGAAATGCAGGGCTGTGCCCATTTAGGGGCCTGGGTAGGCTGCTGACAGCTGCATTGCTTCTCTGCTACACTGACTGCTTCAGCCACATCCCTGATTCTTCATCCGATTTTCCCCCTTCCAACAACTTTCAAACCGCCATTTATAATTTTTAAAAGAAGCCAAACAAAGCACTGAAGGAGCCGCCCCCAAATGTCACCATTTCTCAGTGAGTTC